TCCAGCCACTGCTCCCCACGCCTGCAGTGTCTGTGGGGTTGTTGTGACCCAAGGGCAGGACCTGGCACTTGGCCTTGTTGAACCTCACACAATTGACCTCAGCCATCGATCCAGCCTGGCCAGGTCCCTCTGCAGAGCCTGTACACCCTCCTTGACCCTGGGGTCTTCCCCAGCACAAGGTGGTCCTTCCTGGGCTGGGGGAAGGTCTCACCATAGCAAGTCTAGTAGAGTCATCACCACTTTACCAAACTGGATTTTTCTTTCCTTGAAGTGTGACAGGAGACACCCAAGGCATGCAGGGGCTTTCAGGCTGCGTCCTTGACGTGTTTCTTACCATATTTTGGTCCTCTTTCTCCCTGAACAGTCGGTGCAAGGAACTGGCCTGGCCTTCATTGCCTTCACAGAAGCCATGACCCACTTCCCGGCCTCGCCGTTCTGGTCTGTCATGTTCTTCCTGATGCTGATAAACCTGGGGCTGGGGAGCATGATCGGGACCATGTCGGGCATCACCACACCCATCATCGACACCTTCAAGGTGCGGAAGGAAGTGTTCACAGGTGAGGTCTTTTCTCCTGCATCCTCCTGGGGAAAGGGTGGAGGGGTCCCCATTGCCCTGGGGACACGGTGGAGGTGTACTGGGTCCTGCTAATGCAGAGGATGGAGGTGTTGGGGTGCTCTGCTGACCGTGCCCCTTTGCTCCCCGCAGTTGGTTCCTGCATCTTCGCCTTTGTGGTGGGGCTGATCTTTGTGCAGCGCTCGGGGAATTACTTTGTCACCATGTTTGACGATTACTCAGCCACACTGCCGCTCACCGTCGTCGTCATCCTGGAGAACATCGCCGTGGCCTGGATTTACGGCACCAAGAAGTAAGGCATTTGTAGAGCCAAAAAGAATAACTGTGCTGTAACTCCTGGCTAAAAAAAAACCCTCCTTGGGTTTTTTAATGATTCTTATGACTTTTTTTTCACAGGAGGCCAGCTCTGATGGAGCAAATGCCCCAGGGGCAGCTCTCTTATAGAGGCAGGAGCTGAGTTCACCTTGATCCTCTAGCCCTAGGTGTACCCTAGACCCAGGAGCAGAGTGCCCTGTGTTGGTTGTGGTGCTCTATCAGTTGTGATTACCCTTTTCTCTGAGGTTTCCAGGTCCTTCTGGAGGAGGACCTTGTTCCTCCAGTGCCTGTTCTTGTTGGCCAAAGCAAGGGAGGTTCCCGTTAGTGCTCAAATGGCCTTTTCCTTAGGAAATCCCCAATGTGTCCTATGGGCTTGAGGGACACAGAGATGCTTGCTTGGATCAGCTGAGCTCTTCTTCAGGCTTTTCCTTGAGTGTACCTCACAACAGGGCTCCTGGGGGGGAGTTTCCCACTTGGCGGTGGTGAAGGGCACAGCTCCATCTCTCCCTCTCGGCAGGTTCATGCAGGAGCTGACGGAAATGCTGGGTTTCCGGCCCTATCAGTTCTACTACTACACCTGGAAGTACGTCTCCCCCATCTGCATGGCCGTGCTGATGACCGCCAGCATCATCCAGCTGGGAGTCAGCCCCCCGGGATACAGCGCCTGGATTCGGGAGGAGGTGAGTGCAGCTCCCTGCCCCGTGGCCACCTCCACCTCAGGTCCAGGCTGGGAGCTGAGACTCCCCCTGCTCTCCCCAGCCCTGCTCCTTTCTTCTCCCCTCTCCTGCTGGGACATGTCCTGCCTGTGGCCATTCATCCTCTGCAGGCAATCGGGTTTGTCCATGCTGCCCATAACTCTTCAGCCAGCTTTGGCCATGGGCTGATTGTGGGATTTGGCTTTTTTTTTTGATTTTGGATTGCTTCCACAGCTGCATGCTGTGTGCAGTACCATGTCCTTTTCCTTGGCTTGAACCCACCTTCTGAGAGCTTCATGTAGTGCTCCTGGGGATGAAATCTGGCAAGAGGCAGCAGAAATTGCCCACTGCTTAGGAGAGCCTGGAGAAGAGAAGGCTCCGGAGGGGACCTTATAGCGACCTCTCAGTACCTGAAAGGTGCCTGTAAGAAATCTGGGGAAGAGCTGTTCACTGGGGCATGGAGCAATAGGAGGAGGGGTAATGGTTTTTAACTAGAAAAGGGGAGTTTTAGGTTGGATATCAGGAAAAAGCTCTTCCCCATGAGGTGGTCGATCACTGCACAGGTTGCCCAGAGGTGGTGCAGGCCCCATCCCTGGAGATGTTCAAGGCCAGGTTTGCTGGGGCTATGAGCAACCTGATGTGGTTCAAGATGTCCCTGCTCCCTGCAGGGTTGGACTGAAGGAGCTGTAAAGGTCCCTTCCAACCCAATATATTCTACGATTCTATGCTGTTCCTGGTGTGCATCACTTGCTGTAACCCCTTGACACTCATATTTCTCTTTTCCAGGCTGCAGAAAAGTTCCTTTTCTACCCAACATGGGCCATGGCTATTCTCATCTCTCTGATCATCCTGGCGTCCCTCCCTCTGCCTCTGGTCTTCATCCTCCGGCAGTTCCACCTCATCTCGGACGGCTCCAACGCCCTCTCTGTCACCTACAAGAAGGGCCGGATGATGAAGGACATCTCCAATTTGGAAGACAACGACGAGACCCGCTTCATCCTGAGCAAAGTGCCCAGCGAGACCCCGTCCCCCATGCCCACGCACCGCTCCTACCTGGGTCCCGGGAGCAACTCCCCCATGGAAATGAGCAGTGCCCCCAACGGACGATACGGGAGCGGGTTCCTACTGGCCAGCACCCCCGAATCTGAACTGTGACAGTCGCCTGCCGACCACCCCCACCGGGAGAGGAGGTCACTGGGGAGTGGATCCTGGCTGCCCAGCCAACAGGAAAATTAATCAATGAGGAAGATGAAGAAGAAAACCCCTCTTAAAATCGTAACCAAAAGCAGCCGTTTCGAAGGTGACATCAGGAGGAAGGGACTGCGAGAGGGGCAGGGCTCCTCCACACCCCTCATCTGAAAGGCAGGGTCCCCTGGGCTCGCCTTTGGGGAAGGGAGGAGGACCGAGAGACGCTGCGATGTGTTGGAGAGTCGTTCTCGCTCGAACCTGAAGCAAAGCATCTCTCTCTTGCCAAGCAGCTGATGGTTGGAAAAAAGGACCTGGCGTGACCCAGCGCTCTTCCCTCTCTGTTGCCCTTTAGCCGGGAGGAGCCATGGCCTTACTCCAACGAGCACAATTAACCATCGATGTTCATAGCACAAGAAGGTGCTCTTGTTGTCACCATCGTTGTTGTTCTTGTATCTCCTGTAGGTTTTTATAGCTGTGGACAACACACCACCGAATTTTGGCCAGGGTTGGCAGGGAGCGACGCGTTGCAACGCGTGAGACTGCGGATGGTGGATCCTTGGGGTCTGCTTTGTTACCACCAGCATGGGGACGCGGGTTGTTTTGGGACACGGAGGTGTCACGTCCATGTGATGGTGATCACTTGGGTCATCGTTGTGCTGAGTGGCAGAAGGACACTGAAGTGAGGGTGATTTGGGATGTGTGAGCGTGTGTGGGGTCTGGATGGGGTTATCGTGATAGGGTTTGGGAGCTCCTGGAATCGCTCCTGACGTGTGGGATGCTCTGCAGAACCAAAATCCCTGGCATGGTGATCGTCTCCTCTCGCCACTCTCTTTAGATGTCCCAGAGATGCTGTGGGGCATCCAGTCCTACCACAGACCTGGTTTAGCTCTCAGGAAACCACCTCCTGACTTCCCTCCCTTGCATGCCCAGCCGAGGTGAACTGGGCTGTGATTATTTCTGAACATGGGTCCTCATCCCTCATAGCTTTGAGCCAGGGGTGCATTGCCTCCTGGTGCACCTCCATGGGGGCTCACCAGCCTTTGGATGGGGGTGACCGGCTCCTGGGGACAGCAGGGGTCTGCTGAGCAGCAGTGCCAGGTCCCAGTGTCCCTGCGAGCCCTTGGTCCAGGCTGGTGAGCCCTTGTTAGAGCCCTGGGGTCTCCATCATGCCCTCCATGTGTCTGGGGACCAGATTTACGTGACTTTATGTTGTTCTTTCCCATGGTGTCTCGGAAAGGTTGGGATCTCCCAGCTCAGAGAGAGCTGAGGGTCCTGAATTGTCCACATGGGTGATCTTTTCTGTCCAGGGAACTGGTATTAGGTGGCATCTTCTCCCTTTCCCTTGGGGACATGGGGGCAAAAGCCTCCTTGCACCCTGTCTCAGCACATTGCTCTGGCCTCCAAAAGCTGAGGGAGCTCCTCATCCTTGGTCCTGCTGGGTTTAGACCATGCGTGGTGGTGTTTCAAGCCAGTTTGAAGGCCGAGTTGATGGGTGCTCACCCACGAGCCCTCCTCTCCTTTGCTTTGCTAGCAATGGGTTTTCTTCCACCTCGGTTCCCCTCTGGGCTGGGAAGCAATGACAAAGTACCTGGTCCATTTGCCGTGTCCTTGGCATCCCAAGAGGTCCCCTGGAAGGACGTTTCTCTTGTGAGTTGTGGTCCTTTATTTATCATCCTTCTCCATGGGCTTGGCTGGTGACCTGGAGACTCTTCCTGGACAATTAGCTCAAGCCCTTAATTAACCAGGGGGGAAAAAAACCCCATGTCAGGAGCAGCCATGCCCTTGTCCCTCTTCCGCTGTCTTTCTGTCCTTCCCCTGCTGAGAGACACAGAAACGTCCCCACTGCATCATCCCCGAACAGGATAAGCACAAAACCGGTGGCATTTCCCCACCATTCGGCGAGATCTTCCCCTCATCCCCTTCCTCCTCCTGCTACCCTCAGTTCTCACCACCCAACCAGCAAAACGAAGCCAAATCCTTGCCCAGCGCCCCCTTCCCGATGCCCCTGAGCCCCCATGGAGTTAAGGGAGCAGGACAGAATGGTCCCATCCACTCCCGATGCTCCTCCATCCCTGGGGGCAAGGATCCAAATCCCCAACCTCTCCCCATCACCATTCCCAAACCAGCTAGGGAGGCGTTCGCTTTCCTCCCCTCTTCTTGCAGCGTCAACAAGAGGCCGAGGCAATAAGAAGGTAACAACAACACACAAAAAGCTATATTATATATATATAAAATATATACAGAGAGAGGAGATGGAATAATAACCTAGAGATTCTCTATTTCTATTGTATATTTATTCTGTAAATGTCACTGTAAATGCTGTTAAATGACAAAACGTCTCCCAAAGTGGCCCGTGACCTATTTTCATGCCCAGTGCTGTACAGATCAATTCTCGTTGTATATCAGGACATATTTCTACCTTTTTATTTCTTGTGCGTGGTGGGTGCCCGTGTTCCCCCCACCCCTGAGCCCCAGGGGGTCCAGCAGAGAGGAGGAGGAGGGACACCACCATTATTTTTCTGTGGAAAACCTGTATTTCTTCGTGGCATTTGCTCGGTGTTAGACACAGGGGGGG